GGTTCAGTAGGACTGCCGACAGGACTGAGTCTCCAGGAGACAAAACATGTCTGCCCAGGTGCCTCTGATCGAACTCACTGAGGAATATGACGATGACGGATATCCATCGTAATACACCATCTACTGCCAAAAGGCAAGGAGCTGCTGCTGTATAGCAATGCAGCCCCACGTCTGCCAGTACCCAGATAGCCGATGACGACTACCAGTCATACTGCACCGTCTACTGCCAAAAGGCAATTAGCTGTTGCTGTGTAGCAATGCAGTACCACATCTGCCGACACCCAGATGACATATGGTGACGCTGAGCTGAGCGGGCTCCAGGCTTGCCGTGGTATGTTGTCTGCACAGGTAACCCAGGTAAAAAGGCGCGAATCGATTGTCTGCTGTTGCTCCGACGGAGGTGGAGGGGCCTGACGACATTTACCCCGAACCGCCTGCGACACTGTTTTTGCATCATCAGGCATTGGGATCTCAACCCAGAATTCCAATGGGTGGCGGAGACTGCAGGAACTGTGGGATAGCTACCCACAGTGCAACGCTCCGGAAGTCGACGCTAGCCTTGGTACTGTGGACACGGTCCGCCGACCTAATGCACTTAGAGCATTTTATGTGGGGACACACACAATCAACTGTATAAAACCGATTTCTATAAAACCGGCTTCTATAAATTCGTCCTAATTTCGTAGTGTAGACATACCCTCAGTGAGCAAAGGGGAACAGTTTAGAAATATAATTTGTAATGTTTAACTCTGATCACTAGGAAACAGTAGCTGATAATTGAAATAATTGATAATGGATAGTTGGTTGGAAAATATTCATCAATGTACTTTATTTCATTTTTACCACCTACCCTACCACAGCAGTCTCATCCAGCGTGTCAGCCTTGTTAACAGCAAAATATATCTGTCCAAACTGTGACAGTATGTTTAACAAATTTCCACTTCAGAAATTTGTCTGTGGACAGACTCAGTCATGGATACAACACAGAAGCAGACTGAAGTGAAAAAGGAAACCTAGAACTTTGGGCGCTGCAGAGGAAAACCTGGTTTAATGTTTGTTTAAAAATAGTTGTATATGGAGTACTTAGTGACTAGGAAGAAGAGAAACTACTTCCAAGGTGAAGTAATTATGAAACGAGATGTTGGTCCAATAAAAGATGTTACTTCACCCACCTTGTCTCTCTAATATCCTGGTTCCGACACAGTTACAGCTACACCGCATACAACAAATTGCATTGGCAGTTTGTTTGAATGAGAGAGATCACAGAGAAAAAGATTTTAATAGGAGTTCTAAGAAATTCAAGATGGACTTCATTGGCACCAAAAGAAGGTGCTAAGGAAGTATCTTAGTATAGTGGAACTTAATTTGTCTATTTCTTGCAATAAATTGAGAGAGATACTATAATCAGTCTGACTAGTAAGTATTGGCTAATGTTAGGTGGGATCATTCTTTGCATGATCCCTTGGTCTGTGTAAAGGAAAACTAAAAAAAAAATCATTAGTTCCTTGGCTAGTCAGCAGCTAGCTTCATAACTTTGCACAAGGTTTCCATAAGTATTTGGTTTAGCCTTTATCTATACTGAAAGGGAAAAATCCTTAAGTATCCTGGATACTGTAAACTATTTGTAAAATCTCACTGTGAAATATTAGTAAACACTGTGCCTCTAGTACTCTGGTCTAATTTAATTAGAAAATTTTACTTATTAAAAAGTTACAGTTTAGTGTTGCACCCTCACTAATAGCTCATGTATGAGCAAAGCCTCATAACTTGTAACTGTCTGAGATTTTTAATTTAAAAAAGTTAATCACCTTATTGCTTTTTGTTATAAGTAGGTGTCAAAGTGACCTGTTGGAGTGGAGTCTTGTTTTACAGTTCTGAGTTTTTCTCCCTTGTTCTAGATTGGAATGTTGACCATGACCACTGACAACGAAGAGGTACTTTATGACTATTTGATACATATCATTATATGTAATAAATATTTATACTATGTATAATTCAGAAAGTGCTAAAACTTGTGCATGACTAAGTTACTCTGTCAGTTACTTGGAGACCCCTGGAGTAATTTAGTACAATGTGGTAAGAATGAATTCTTGCGCAATAACTTTTCCCTAAGAATATCTGAAACTCATCATTTCCTATTGGTAAGGCTAAGATTTAGTGATGGGTATTTTTACTAAAAAGTCATGGACAATAAACAAAGATTCACGCTGGTGGTGGGGGATGGCAGCCCGGGACCACTGCTGTTACTGGGGGGGCCCCGAGCTGCTCAGGCAGCCCTGCGGTCATGCACAGCAGCAAGCTGCAGAAGTCATGGAGTTCCCAGAAAATCACGGAATCTGTGACCTTTGTGACAGTCTCACAGCCTTACCTATTGGTGGTAATCCATACTTCATTCTCCAATTTAATCTAACTCTGACAATAGCTTATAGTACTGGTTCGCATATTTTTTTCAACAGACGTGTTCAGATAAGGAATTTAACAAGATTTAAGAGCTGCGCGCTCTTAAATTATCAAGTTCTCTGTAGCTTTAGAAAGTGTAGCTCTATATTTGTACTTCAGTGACATGAGCTGGATTCCAAACCTCAGTTTGATTAATAATCAAAGGAGGGTTGAAGCATCAAAAAACACATATTTATAGGCCTTTCCTATCTCCTTTGTCTTTCAGTTCCAACTTATGGGGAATTTGCCTGGATAACCTCTTCCTTACTATTCTAGTATGCATTTTAAGTGCCCTAAAAATATACTATTCTTTATTTAAACAGGTGATTAGAATAAATAAAACATGGCTGGCAGTCACACCAAATGTTATGTTTTAGTGATACTAAAGAAGTAAAGTTAGCATTTCTTATCACAGCATGAACATTGGGCTAAGATGCAATGTTTTCCTCTCTCTGTGATCCTGCAGAGAGCAGTTCTGTTGACATGAATGGTAAGGTTATTCTAAAAGCTGTTGGAAGATGAGATGGGGTTTAAGTGCACTGAGTGCTTCTTTATAAAAGACATGTTAAGCCATGTGACTTAGCTGTATAAGAATTCTTTAAAATAAAAGTCTGTCTTGTGTGAACCTCAAAACAGAGTTAGATTAAATTTAAGAGGGTGCAAATGTATTATGAAAGTTGCCCCAAGTTGGTAATTCATTGTCGTCTACAGAAAAGTGTGTGGCATTTCTGCAAAAATTTAAAGTCAGATTTCTTTAATCAATCTTCTGAAAATGCACATGCAGTTTTGAAGTGTGGCTCCTAATGTTCTGGCCATCTTTGAGAATTCCATCTTTGCTGGAGAATCCAAGGTAACAATTGTGTCGTGAGAAGGGGACAGTAGGTCGTTCTCAAGGATTTGTATCCTCACCAGAAATCCTTTAATGTAAATTGTGACTCTTTTTATATTCTACTACTTACTCAAGTCTCTACATAAAATATAACCTTGAGTTTTATCATTGTTTTTCAGAAGACTCAAGTTAGTAGTGTTGCATAATATCTGATAAGATTGCTTTTATTTTATAAATGTGTCTGCTCTAAGAAGTGCCCAGCTCAATCAAATTTTACATGCTATATAAATAGTCCATCCCATTTGGACAACTTGCCACTTAAAAACTTTTTCCTGTATAAAGACCTAGGTTATGGTTTTAGTTCTCGTAAAGATAAAGGCTTTTTAATTGTTTGATCACATGAGCTCTCACTCTTCAGGCTCCAGAGGCTAAGTCCCGTGAAGACTTGATAAAAAATCACTATATGGCAAGGATAGTAGAACTTACGTCTCTTCTACAGCTGGCTGACAGCAAGTCAGTACATTTTCATGCTGAGGTGAGCATCCAGTCAATCTCCTGTACTGAAAACAGTAACTCCTTTCTGAACTTTCTATAGATCAATGTTATGAACAACAGGCTCCTACCAAAACACCATGGACAATCTATCCGATAATTTGTTCCTGCAGTTTATTCCTTGGTTTTGGGGTAGTATTCATAAAAGGCTGTACTTGCTGTGTGTTGCATCAATTTCTTAATTTTGAATAATTGCATATTCAACCTCCCTCGTTAATCAGTTGCATTTGGTAATAAGAAAGCCAGTTGCATTGGTTTTAAGTGGCCTGGATATAGGTTATTCTTATACACCTATTTTATTGCTGGCTTTAGCTACCAAACTATATAGAATTGAATGTAGGTCCTTGGCTTAATGCAGGGTGGGGCAGGGGGAGATACTGAGACTTGGGCAGGAGGGGAGAGAAGCTGGCTCCAGGCTGGAAAGGAGGTTCCTACCTGGGCCTCATCCCGCCCCCCTGTGTCCCACTCCTCAACCCAATCCCTGCACTGCAGCAGCTGCTCCCCAGTCCAATCCTGGGCCTCACAGTTTTAGTCCCTCTGGTTCCTGCTTTGACACACCCTCCTCCTTGGCATATCTGAGTTAACACAATATTTCTATTGCAGGGGTGCTAGCCTCCATGCTGTTCCACTGCCCTGGCTTAATGTGACAAACTACAGTAATTTCAAAGAATTTAGCAATTTGATAATGAAGAACTAGAACTTACCTCTCACCTAGAAATTGGAGAATGTTGTACAATTTGGCTTGCTTGACTTCTTTGCAAGCTGAGAACTGTTTTCAAGTATTTGTTGTGTTGAATTTTAGAATCAGATAAATGCTCCTCAGTAGGATGAGCAATTTTGCCAGAAACACATGCAGAACATGCGCCATATTTGGTTAGATTTGCTTTGTCAGCTTTAATGTACACAACTGTTATTGGTATGGCAGATAATGAGATAATGTGAAAGAACCATCCTTCCGCACTGACATTTAAGCAATATGTGCATGTGCCTGGCATCTTGAGATCTCATTTGTTTTTCTTTTTATATTTTCTTTAAACAAAATTAATAGATCCTTCTGATCGCAGATATTATTTTCTAGCAATAGTGTCTAAAATGTAAGGTGCTCTTCTATAAAATAAATCCTGAAAGTTTAGTGTTTTATAATGTTAAATCACTGTTTAGCTTGTGAAGTTCTGTATAAAAGCTTTATTTCTGTAACCCACTTTCTGTAAACCAAAAACTTTGCATTTTGAAAGGCCCAAACATTGATAAAAAAAAAACTCTACCTCAAATAATTTGCTATGTACAATACTCTGCTGGCACTAACTGATTTTTTGTTTGTTTGTTTGTTTGTTTGATAGTGCCGAGCGCTTGCCAAAAGATTATCATTAGCTGAGAAGTCTAAGGAATCACTAGTGGAGGAGATGAAATTAGCTAGTCAAAGCATCAGTAGATTACAGGCAAGTGAAATGTTAGCTAAGCAATTTGATGGACACACTCCATGGGATAGTTGTGGGTGGAAAAACATAAAACCCAGTGTACGTCCCATGCTAAGTCTGAAAACTGTCATGGCATGTGAGTAGAATTGCAGACCAAACCCACTAATGCACATGTTTAAAATTATCGAAGATTGAGTATTGAATGGGATATGTCTTATTTTAAAAAATTGAGAAAATACTTACAGTAACGGAGATACCATTTTGATGTAAACATATATCTTGTGAAAATATTGTCCCTTTTACCCTTTATTATCCCTGTTTGTTTTTTGCTTCCAAAGCTATGATTAAATCCCAGCCGCTTAGCTGCGTGCAAAACATTATAATGTATATGCATCTAATGTCCCTTCTCTCCTCTTGCCACACTTCATTTTAATAGGCTGACTGAAGAGGAGAAATTGACAAGGTTCTTGCTCAATGAGCACTTTCAAATAGAAAAGTCAACTTCACTTCATACAAGAACTTAGCAAGCAGAGAGACTGAGACGCACTTACATATTCACTTTCCCAGTAAAACCCAGAATCATAAATGTACATTGTGGCATCCTCCCTGGCCTCTGGGATTTTTAAGACTATTTCAGCCTCTGCTTTTTTTTCCCCCCTGGAAGGCTGATGGTGCTTTATTATAAAAACCACATGGCAACTTAATAAAATAAGTAATTTTTAACTGTAGTTATCAAACTGTGGACATGTCAGTTTTAGTTCCTTGAAAAACTGCTCTGCAAAAATGCACAGCACACCATTTGCACTTAAAATCCAGAGAACTGAGCCAAGATAATTAAGTATCAGAGGGGTAGCCATGTTAGTCTGGATCTGTAAAAAGCAACAGAGTCCTGTGGCACCTTTAAGACTAACAGATGTATTGGAGCATAAGCTTTCATGGGTGAATACCCACTTCGTCATGCGCTTAATGAAGTGGGTATTCACCCACAAAAGCTTATGCTCCAAGATAATTAAGAGAATGAGAAAAGAGAAAATTGTAAATACATAAGTACTCAGGAACTTAGAGAGGCTTAACTTTCTGGCCCCCCTCTATATTCAGTTAGTTCAAACCAGTGCTAACTCTAATGAGCAGATGATTCTTCACTTTTTAAACAAACTAACATTTTTGGCTTGGAAATGTTTTAGAGGAAGGAAGCTATTTTTCCATACGAGTTATAGTTGCCAGAGTATAGTATTCCTTCTGGTTTTGAACCATCTCATGTAATCTCTCCTTCACATCATCATAGCCCTCTTTATCATTGGGTAAGGTGGGAGGCTTCTTAATTGAGAAGTGGAATGTAAAATGAATCCCGTAATTTCCTTTTTAGATACTTCATCAGTAAACTCACAACCTTACTAAAAAGCAGCTTTGAGATTGAGTCCATGTAGTAATACAGAACCATGAAAGGGGGTGACAGTTTGTCAGGGTTGCCAGACACAGGAAGCACATACTCATGACTCAGAGATGGACGGGACCTATTCAGGAGTGCAATGTGAGGCCTTTGCATTGAACAATGTAACCACGTGGCCTGCTTTTCAATACAAGTATTAAAGATTAATTATCTATGAAACATTTTAATTCTTTACATCCATTGAATTTGTACTGAGGGCACAGTAAATAGCCATCACTTAAAACAGTGGTTCTCAACCAGGAGTATGCGTACCCCTGAGGGTATGCAGAGGTCTTCCAAGAACTATATCATCTCATCTAGATATTTGCCTAGTTTTACAACGTGCTACATAAAAATCACTAGCAAAGTCAGTACAAACTAACATTTCATACAGACAATGACTTGTTTATACTGCTCTGTATGCTATACACTGAGCTGTAAGTACACTATTTATATTCCAATTTATTTATTTTGTAATTACATATTAAAAAATGAGAAAGTAAGCAATTTTTCAATGTGTTCTGTGACGCTTTTTTGTATTTTTGTCTGATTTTTTGTAAGCAAGTAGTTTTTAAGTGGGGTGTAACTTGGGGATCCACAAGACAACTCAGAGACTCCTGAAAGGGGTTCAGTAGTTTGGAAAGATTGAGAGCAACTGATTTAAAATACTAATAAGCACAATGTGGCTATTTGAGGCTTTCAGTTAATGATGACAGTACTGGAAATTGCTGAGTTAGAGAGTCTATTCTTCTACTCAGACATTTGTGGTTACCCTGGGAAATACTTCTTGCCACCTTGTTCCTAGCCCTAATATTGACATTCCTAAAGTCATATTGCTATGGCCTAAATTTTTTTTTAATGCACCTTGTTCTATAGGTAATGCACATTTTATTTTCTCAAACTTGCAAAGGTGACTTTGCACAAGTTTTATGATAGTGACGCCCATGAAAAAATACCTTCCTTTAGCTTTTTGAATAATGTCACTTTATATGCCTCTGCTATCACATCTGAAATATAAAAATATCTTTCGTGTATTTCAGATTGATGTCAAACTGATGATGTACATCTGAAACGGCCTTACATTGATCTTTGGCATTCACTGCAACAAGATAAGATTTTTAAATAAAATTCTGTTTGACTTAGTGCAGTCACTACTGCTTGAAGATCACATCACACATAAAAGGAGAACAATATGGTGATATTGTCAACTAGCTGCCCATTTAGTGTTCTTTGACTTATGGCTAGTGGACTGCCATTTTGCCATCCCTTGGAGTAATGATTACAATGGTAGACTTTTATTAGTAGCTCTTAAAGTACTTGACTTCTGATGCAAAAATTTTTTAAATTGCTAGTACTATGCCTAACCTTCATAAACAAGACCAGCATGATCGAAATTATCCACAAATTCTCCAGTGACTTAATGAATCCCTGTATGATTTCAAGGTATTAATGATGTGACATGATTGTGCAGCCCAGACTCCCATACAAATAGTTCCCTTGAAGTCAGTGAGCATACTAAGCATGAGAAAGGATCTGATCCTGCAGCCCTTAATCTTTAGCTGTTACTTTTCTTAAGTATTCAGATACCACACTGAAGACTTTGTATATACAGATATTTAATAGTACTGTCCTTTTGGGCCCAGTTCTGTCTACCCATGTTCTTAATGGAGGTTTTGGATCACCTATTTGAGTTTAAGACCAGGATTTATGTAGTGTTTTTCTGAACTCTTTTAATTGTGAAGTGCTTGTATGATGAAATTTGACAATTTCTCTGGTGGCAAATAGGCATAATTATAAAATTGAATTCCTTCTAAAACAGTGCACCCTCTTTATATATCTGTAAAGATCCATATATCTCCCCAAAAAACCTCTCTCAAACTATTCATCCAAAATTATATAACAAATTGTTTTCTTTCCTTTTTTTAAAAAAAAGCATACTGGCTGGAACACTTATTTTTAAACACATAGTCCTGAATGTTAAACAGAACTTAATAAATAAAAACAATTGCATCTGGGCTGAAAACTGGGTTTTAGCCTCAGTGATTTTTGTCGCATGTTGTTAAACCCTTAGTTAGATGATGATTTATAAAATAGTGTAATAAAATAAGTTTTGGGAGGTGATAGTGAGGGAAAGGGGGGGATGAAGTTTTAAAGATAAATAGGAAAACTACCGAGACTTTTTTTCATTTAAATTTTTGCATAGTTGCTTTTCTCCATAATGAAATTGCTTAAGTGCACACGTTTGGTCAACCTAGCAGCTTTGTTGGACAACTTGAATGTCTGCATGAACAATGTACTACTGTAATATTAGGCAAAGCTGAAAGCTACTGTTCATTCACTCCTTAGGATGAGTTGACAACCACTAAAAGAAGCTATGAAGATCAGCTAAGTATGATGAGTGACCATCTGTGCAGCATGAATGAAACCTTATCTAAACAAAGGGAAGAAATTGATACACTGAAAATGAGTAAGGTAGGTTACCAAGTGTTGTATTTACTTTGCGCATGGTCTGTAGCCTGGGTTAGCAAGTAGAATGTGAAGTTACTAGCTTGTTTTAATTCTCAGCCACTTGGCATGAAAATCTGAAGCCCTATCCCTACTGATCCAAGTGAATGAGAGTTTTAGGACCTAACTTGGAATCTGAAAATGACTGGTGGTCATAAACTATGTCTTTCCCTGCACTCTTAACTGTAGAGAGCTTATTACATCCTCCCCACACCAGATTAGGCTTTAAAGGGGGACTTCTTACTCTTATAAGTACCATTTTTCAGATACCTTAAAATAAAACATACTGTTAAAAATGCACATGGAAGGATGATCAGGAAGGTGGAGGAGATAGTCATACTGTAAGCATTCATTCATGGATATTCTTTATGGTCACTCCTTCATAGTTACAATATATTGTGTTCAAAGCTGCTATTCTTTCTGTCATCCCAATGATCCAGTTGAAAAGTTAGCTGCTCTTATTTCTCGTTTTCACACATAGAATCATAGAAGATTAGGGTTGGAAGAGACCTCAGGAGGTCATCTAGTCCAACCCCCTGCTCAAAGCAGGACCAACCCCAACTAAATCATCCCAGCCAGGGCTTTATCAAGCTGGGCCTTAAAAACCTCTAAGGATGGAGATTCCAACACCTCCCTAGGTAACCCATTCCAGTGCTTCACCACCCCCCTAGTGAAATAGTTTTCCCTAATATCCATCTTAGACATCTCCCAGTGCAACTTGAGACCATTGCTTCTTGTTCTGTCATCTGCCACCACTGAGAACAGCCTAGCTCCATCCTCCTTGGAACCCCCCTTCAAGTAGTTGAAGGCTGCTATCAAATACCCCCTCACTTTTCTCTTCTGCAGACTAAGTAAACCCAGTTCCCTC